TTATTCTTTATTTCTAATTTATCTACAATTTAGGCGTCATTGTTCTTTGTTTAATTAATAGATTATGAAAAAAAACTTTTTTCGATGCGTAGCGAACAGTCTGCATCGAGTAATCGTCAGATTTCTGCGCCACGACAACTATTAATATTAAGACAATAATAGGTTTGTAAAAACCATTGTGCATTTATGACATTGCATAAAAGCGAGTATTGGTCATGTGATATGATTCCTGGGATCATATATATTTAGATAAGCAGTTATTATTATTTGCCACAAATAAAATACTCCTCACGTTTTATCCTCATGGATGTCACACCCTTTTTTGGGCATGTGTAAGCAAAACATGCAGTTGGCCCGAGTTAATCTAGCTGGAAGAATATTAAATGTGGGGAACCCTAGATCTTCGCTTAGATTAAATATTTGTATCTAGCATAACTATACCCGATTTAATCCATTTACTGGTTGCTATGGCTCCATTCATCGGATTGTTACGTCACTTTCTACGATCGACATTTGGATCATAGTTACAGTGCAAGACAAACATGCAAGACAAGCATGCAAGGCAGAGGTTTTGTAGTCTTCCTGAAAATGAAATTTACAACCAAGTAATTATAAATTGATAATACTATAACATGATTAGTGCATAAACTAGAAAAAACTGTCATTATATATTACCAATTTCAAAAATCTAATATAAATTTAATGTTCACATTATTTTATAAGCTAAATTTATTCTGTGCAAATAAATTAACTGTTTTTCAGTTATTTTAATAAATTGTCTTTTTTTTCCTGAGAAAACAAATACTATATCAAGTCAAATTCTTTCAATCAGATACTCTAAAAATTAACAAATAATAATAATAATATAATAATAATAATAGTAATATTTAGTCTATTAGCTTTATAATCTTACCTATGAAATGCTTTCAAATATATAATTTTTTTATAAGTTTGGTCAGAAATCTTTGCAAACAACATTATGCCTCTAGTAATAGTGTTGATTTGTATAACGAATTAGTTGTGTATTTTTTTTAAACATTACTTGTATATTTTAAACTTTTCATTTACTCTAAATCCAAATCGGTTATGGATGATCAAGTAGAAATTGAACTGCTCTATTGATATCATTATCAGACAAAAGAAGTGCACGTGTTATAGTTTCTTGTGATCGTTGTGGAAACATTGATCGCAAATTATCTACATGTTCTTCATTTATAATTGGTTGCTAAAAGATATGAATCAGCTATTAGCGTCTGACTATTAGTTATGTGACTGAAGGTACTGTTATTTTGCGATTCTATCTTTTCTCTAGATACTTCTTTTTTCTTTTTTTTTCTAATTTGCTATTCTTCTTA